ATATGAATTGAAGAACTCTTTCTTCTATTATTTATGATATATATAGATACAAGACAAAATGCTCTGAAATCGACAACACGAATGGTTTCTAGGGCATACACTAACATACACTAACAAACACTTATTAAAAAATATTAAAAGTCATATTAATTAGCAATAATCCAATTACATTGAACATAACACGAACAGTTGTTGTAATCATTAATTATCATATAATATTACTTAATGACATCTAAAGCTATATAAGAGTAGAGAATTCAACAATCCATACACCTTCAAATATTTCTTTCATTTCACACAGATGTCATTAACAAATGGAAGACAAAAGACCAACTATTGTCAATCCAAATCCAAACAAACAGAAGCATGCGGTAAATAACACCAACTGATTACTCTTATATTCCTTCTACATATCTACTTTTACATGTCTATTTTTTTATTTTTAGCAGGTCAAGCAGCAACGTCAGATGCTTCACTTGAACTGGAAGGTATTCTACAAAACCTTAAAGTCACGCTGGACAAACCAGAATGATGAACAGAGATATAATGGATGCTTTGTTAGAAATAACAAGCTCAACCATACATGTAATATTTGATTTATGGAAACGTGAATCCCTGATTATTGCCAAAGAAAAGGAGCTTGGTATTCCTCAAGGAAAAAAATATAACTATATATATAAACAGTTCTATTATCAATAAAAGATTCACAGTTTATTGTTCTCACTGAATGATGATACCAGAAGCTAATATAAATATTGTTTATTCTATAGTTAACGCATAATTCTACATTACTATTTTACACCTTTTAATCCATTTCTTAAAGATTCCATTTCATTATATAACTTAATGGGTTGGATTTAAATTTTAAAAGTTTTTTAATTAAGTAGTGAGTAAGTTTCTTAACAACTGAACTTAAACTTATTCTATATGTGTTGATTGATTCATTTCTTTGTATAATTCAATGACTTAGATTTAAATATTGATTTTTTTTTTTTTTATGTTCCTTAAAATGACATGAGAACTAAACGTCTACAGTTGTTTTTGTTCTCAGAATGATCCAAAATTGTCTTTTTGTAGATTGGCTATATGGCGATATGTAGGATTGGTTCCAGTTCGGGTTTGGAGGGTGTTGAGGGATGGAGTTTAAGTGGGAATTTCTCAACAAGGCTGATTAGTAGGTAATTTGTGGGAAGTCAAAGTCATGTGTGATGTTTCAGAGGAGAAGTTTTGGCGTTCAGTGTTCATCTTCGAGGAAGGTTGTTTCTCGAGTTGAATCTGAGGTTGTTCTATGAAGGAAGAAGAGTCAGGGCATGTTATGAGGTTCAAGATGTCTGATTTCAAGATTCTTGATCGTGTTAGCCTTGGCCTTGCTAGGCGGGTATGTTTGTGTGAAGAATTCAAATGTTTATTGGAAATTTGATGGCGGTGTTTGATTGTTTTTGTGATTTAATTGAATTGGGATTTCCTGTAGGTTGATGAGGTTGTTTTTTAAGCCATTGTGAATAATTCTAAAAGGTTTCATTTCTTTTTTGTTTCCTTCTCATTATTTTCTTATGATATGTTAGACTAAGGCGTGAACTTACGATGTTTGTATTGTGAGATTGCAGCCCTTTATATAACACAAGAGTTGTGCTAGAAAACTAGATGAAACGTAAGATCAATTAAGTAGTGAGTAACTTCTATTGCTACTGATAGTGCTTTTGGGAACCAGCATGGTTATTGGTGATGGCATTCTAACTCCGTCAATTTCTGGTATTATTTCTTTCATACATTACATATATTTTCAATGTGAAGTTATAGATTGATTATGGTACACAACATAATGATATGGTTTTGTCCATAGATCTCCATCAAATTGGATATGATATGTTTTAGCTACTGCACAATGTATTAGCTTCCAAGAATTGCACAACTTTCTCTTACTTTGTCACATTTAATGCATATACAGTATGTGTTTATGTGTGTGCATGTGCATGTGTGTGTGATGGGATAAATGAGTAACATCCTTTTAATTGTTTTTTTTTTTTTTTTAAATCATAAATGAAATTGATTAGCTCTCAAACCCAGCAGCTAACATGATGGAAAGCAGAGACCATATTCGAAAGGTAATCTTTTCTTTTATAGAGTAAAAATTTGATGATTTATGTGCCAACTTAGTGTAATCTTAAAAGCACTTACTCTTTAAGTTTTCTTAATGTCTAAATGCAGTTGAATTTTTTTTTTTTTTGGTGCTTTTATGCAACCAGACTAAATTTAGTAACCCATTATTTTCTTTGAGTATAAACTCAAACTTCTTGCAGAAAGAGTTTTTCAAATAGAAATTTTTAAGTTTTTAGTGAACTTTTGCGTAGAACTTAAGTTTGGATTAAAACATATGCGGATGTTTGACAAATTCTTGGATATTCATATTCATATTTGGCTAATTTGACTAACCTCTTGACTTGAGGACGAACTAAGCTCCAGCATCAAGCTCTTTGGAGAATCAATGATGCCTGTTTCATTATCAGTTTTTGATATATTCATGGAGCTTGGAACTACAGTTCCCATCTTTCTCTCTGTGCTTGACTAAGAGTTGTTCCACCTACAACAACAACCTATACACCACCTGTTGAGCAACCGGAAGTGGTCATTCCAAGTGTAGCCAGCCATTGCCCCACTCACAGGTGCTTACTTTAAACCATTGTTTGTTTATGAAATTTCATATTATTACTGATTTATTTCTGAACGTAAATTGATTCAGTTTTGATTCCTTTATTATGCAGCCAACCTTTGGCAGTGATGGTCACAGTGAGCATTGATGGGGCTGACATTCGGAATAATTTAATGAACACTTCTTTTTTGGCGTAGACACAGTATGAACCATTTAAAAAAAAAAAATATTGTCCATTTATTTTGTTTTTATGTGTCTTATAAACAATGTTATATTGCAAAGTGTTTATCAATGAAGCATATTTTATTATCAAAAAGTTGCAAACTTACATTCTTAGATAGGTTATACATGTTTTTGTTGTGGACTCTGTAGCCAGTAATAGTTTGTGTTTTGTGGCGAATAGAGTTTGTGTTGGATGATGAAGGATGACAAGTTTTATTTTATTTTATTTTTGCTCATTTCATGGTGCTGGGAAACCTTTTAAAATGGTGAAAGATTAACTGTTGGACCTCAAAGCAATGGTTATATTCCATGCAGGAACTACTAATTTTAAGAAGGGCAAAATTGTCATTTCAATTATATTATTATGTACCAAATTGTTGTAAGAAAAGTGTTGCAACTCTTCTTTTGCTTTGAAAAGGGAATATATTCCTATCACTAAAATGTTCCAGTATTATTTCGTTCTTCAATTAATTAATTTATTTGTGTCAAAACCACTTTCATAAGTTGCGGGACTTTCAACTTCTATGTATTGAATTCAATTAATTCAATTCCTGCTGAATTACAAACTGACAATTTCAATCTTCCATCACTTGCATTTTATCAAATTAAAAGAGGAATGTGAAAGATCTGTACTGCATACATTAATTGAATGCATGTGAATCATCCTTATTTTATTAATACCAATAAGCAGCAAACACGGGGACTAATTAATGACATCCTAAATGACAATCATATAACGATTCTCAGTAATCTTTAAACATAAAAACCCGATTAAAAAAAAAAAAAGAACAATAACAAAATATTATATTATAATCAATATTTGACATATTTTTTTGTGAAACAATAGTCGTTTACAATTTCTTAAAATATAAAAATCCGATAATAAAATAAAAACAATATAATAAATAAACCAGCGCAACGCGCGGGCGTGCCATCTAGTATTTGCTTAATTGCCCCTCTTCATTTATTTTAACACCAAAAAATTAACGGTTGGGGGATTTTTGTTATTTATATAATGATAGGGGATTTTTGTTATTTATTTATACCTAAGGGGGATTCTTGTTATTAACCCTTTCATTAATTTTTAATAGTTATAAAAAAAAAAATTATCAGGTGCATTTGGTTTATTATTTTGGATAGGATTTTGGGAATAATATTGGGTAGTTGAATAGGGGAGTTTTACGAGGTAAAATTTAAAAATTTCTAAAAAACCCCCTAGGTTTGCTAATTTAACTAAACACCCAAATATATAAAAATTTTCTAAAATGACAAAAACACCCCCATCACCCGCAGTGCCAGATTCCGGCCACCATCGCTGGAATCTGGCCGAAAAATTACGTTACAACACAGACTGGTCGGATATGTGTTGTAACGCGTCGATATGGTCTTTTCCGGCCAAATCCACAACAGATCTGGCCAGAAAAGGCCAGATCTACGGCCAGATGTGGCCGTCGACGGCCGCAAAAGTCCATCTTTGGTCGTCAGCAACGGCCAAAGATACGGTCGTCATTTTCGGTCAGCAACGACCATTTCTTTGGCCGTTGCTGACGGCCAGAAAAGGCCAGATCAGTGAATTACCAGCCAGTTCTGGTCGTGGTGTAGGCCGTTGTGACAGATTCCAGCTATCACCGATAGTGGTTGCCAGAATCTGGCAAGTATGTATGGGTGGGGGTGTTTTTGCTAATTTTTAAACTTTTTTCTGGGGGTATTTAATGAAATTAATAAACTTAAGAGATCTAAAAGTAATTAAAAAAATATACTAATATTTCTTAAATAATGTGCCAAACAACATTTGAGGAATAGGATTGGGAATATGGGTAGAAGTATTGAACCAAACGCGCCCTCATTTCCCTTTACCCTTTTTACTATTAAAACGAACGAAATAGTCCTACCGGTAACAATAGGCGGGTGTAGAGTTTATTACTGAAACTTCAGGGGTTTTTTTGGAAGTAGGCAAATCTTGGGGGTTTAAATAAGTATTCCTTTAATTAAGTAAGATTACGAAATACCTACCCTGGCCTGAGTTGAAAATATGGTTTGATGAAGGGTATTTTGGTCTATTCGGTGAAAATATGGCTTGATATTCAATAATTTAGTATGGCCCAAAATATGGTTATTTCAACCCGCCCCCTTCTTTTTCTTTTTGAGTTATCAGTATCTGACTCAAACTCCATTAAGGAAGTTGTTCATTCTCCTGCAAATCATCTCTTCTCTTACGGCATGTATGTTTCACTCCTCTCTGGATTCTAATCCCAATGCATCAAATTTGCTTTTCAGTTAAGCAAGCCAATATCTTTTTAATTCCGTTGGTATAATCTTCCATAATATCAGTATTAGGGTTTGCTGTTGTTTTGAGTTTCCTTTAGCATTTGAATCCCATGCTAAAATTATAGTGCTTAGTAGTATTCTGTGGGTTTTTTCTTCTTTTTTATGTTTAAATTTGTGAGTAACGATTGTGCAGAAGTTTTCTTGTCAAAACATCTCCCGTGCTTAAGTTTTATTTTTTGGAACTAAAGTTTTTAATGCAATCTTATGCAAATTTTGTTGTAAAGGGCTTGGAATTCAGTTTCAGTTTATGGATTTTTGGTCGTACTTTATTAGAGTTCTTATACAGATGACAGATGTTTGAATCCATCCTGGCATTTCGTATAATGTTCATTTGGGGAGGATTTTCCTTGATTATATTTGAGTTTCTGGCCATCTGAGCATGCTTGACATGTGATTCAAAAGATTCTTGTTCATACAGGCTAGTTATTTAGTTTTATTGTGCGGTAGTAACTTTTTATTAAAAAAAAGTCTATTCATCAAGTAGAATCTCTGTAAATTTCACTGTTCATGAACTGATTGGGATATATTTTAGTTGAGTGCTTTTGTTTTTGAACTGTTCCATTAGGAGGCATGTCTGTGAATCCAGGAGGGAAATAAGTTTTCTTGAAAGTTATGTCTTTATTGAATTAATTTCCTATTTTCATGTAGAAACTATATCAGACTTGCTCTAAATATCTCACACATGTATTTAAAATAGTTTGTTGCCCTGCAGATCTGAGATCAAACACAATAGCTTTGTGTGGTGAGATTGATTGACCGACATGATTCTGCTCATGGTTTGTAACAGATTAACTGATTAATTGAGTCTTGCTCCTCAATTAATTGCCAGTTAGTAACAATCAATGTCCAGTGCTACCCCAGCGTACAGACCCTACCGCCATTTAAAAACCCTAACGGCTCACAGTCGTGCTGTTTCGTGCGTGAAATTCTCCAATGATGGAACCCTGCTTGCCTCTGCCTCTCTTGATAAAACATTGATAATATGGTCGGCCTCGACACTCTCCCTTATCCACTGCCTTGTTGGTCACTCCGACGGCATATCGGACCTTGCATGGTCTTCTGATTCTCACTACATCTGCTCAGCTTCTGATGATCGCACCCTACGCATCTGGGATGCACGTGCCCCCTTTGACTGCCTAAAGACTCTTCGTGGGCACTCGGACTTTGTCTTCTGTGTGAATTTTAATCCTCAGTCTAATCTGATCGTATCAGGATCATTTGATGAAACAATTCGTGTTTGGGAGGTGAAGACAGGGAAATGTATGCGCATGATTCAGGCTCATGCAATGCCTGTTACTTCTGTGCATTTTAACAGGGATGGTTCACTGATCGTGACTGGGAGTCATGATGGATCTTGTAAGATTTGGGATGCAGGGGAAGGCACATGCTTGAAGACGCTTATTGATGATAAGGATCCTGCTGTGTCCTTTGCTAAATTTTCTCCCAATGGGAAGTTCATTCTTGTTGGCACTCTCGACAGCACTCTTGTAAGTTCTATTGTTATCATATTTCAAAACTGAAATTTTATTTTTAAAGTTGTGAAAATTTAATATTAATAAAAGTTTTAGATCAAGCAAGTCTATTACTTCTCTGATAAGCATAAAATTCAAATTGTCTATAGCTTTTTTTTTAATTTTATTATTATTATTATTATCAGTTATGTGTGGAGCATTATAAGCAGGGTTTGAAGGCGTAATGATTTTATGAGTTCATGCATAGTTTTTCTTTCTGATATTTTCCCTTTATTTGTTGAGTGCAGAAGCTGTGGAATTACTCAGCGGGTAAGTTCTTGAAAGTCTATACAGGTCATACAAACAGAGCTTATTGTATAACATCCACGTTCTCTGTAACAAACGGGAAGTATATTGTTAGTGGATCAGAGGACAAGTGTGTTTACTTATGGGATCTGCAGCAAAAAACTATGCTTCAAAAGCTTGAAGGCCACACTGACACAGTGATTTCTGTAACCTGTCACCCCACTGAAAACAAAATTGCTTCTGCCGGCCTTGATGGTGATAGAACAGTGAGGATCTGGGTTCAAGATGCATGAGTTGTTTGAAATGATATATGAATTAGTTATTTGTGGTGAGACATGTAGATGTTGTCTCTGAACATGTTATTTCATTTCTATTAAAAAAAAAAAAAAAAAAAAAAAAATTGCATGTCAATTCTGTTTGTTTGAGATGCCTGGTTAACATATAAGTAGAATTTGTTATGATAATGTGGTTTACATGGGAATGGGATAATCACATATAATGTATCCTTCTTACAGAATAGCTTCAAAAATGTATGGTGAGGTGAGGTTTGGAGTTACATGGTAATGTTATTGGCAACAAAGTCAGTAACTGATCACATTAATGTTGCTGTGTTTTCTTGTATCTAATAAGGTGTTAGTTATATTTTATGCTGTTTTCTTCAGTTATTGTTTTGGGTGAATCCTCTGCAATTTAAGCTACGCGAAGGGTCCATTGGGGCATTTCGTTTCAGATTTAAATGAAGGATGTGATTTTTACATTTGTCAGTAAGCTCAACAAGCCAATTTCAGCTCCTTGTAGCCAGAAAATTTCTTGTGCAATGTTGGATTTTTAGTAGGGGTGTTCGGTTTCGGGTACCTTGCACTTTTAGAAGGAACCAGAACCGATAGTTCCTTGAAATTTGGAACCAGAACCAGAACCGACGGTTCCGGTTTCTAGGTACCCAGAACTAGAACCTGTAACAACAGTTCAGGTTCTGGGTACCCTGTAAAATTTCATGATCCCCCAAAAGTTTTTAAAATGGCAAAAAAACCCTTAAAAACTTACAAATACCTCCCCACCTGGTAGGGGTGTTCGGTTCTGGGTACCCTACACTTTTTGAAGGAACCGAACCGGAACCGACGGTTCCTTGAAATTTGGAACCAAAACCAGAACCGAAGGTTCCGGTTCCGGTTCCTAGGTACCCAGAACCAGAACCTGTAACAACGGTTCAGGTTTCGGTTTTGGATATCCTGTAAAATTCATGACCCCCCAAAAGTTTTTAAAATGGCAAAAAAGCCTTTAAAAACTTACAAATACCCCCTTTGCACTTGTTAACAAAAATAAAATTACAAATTATAAATTTAAAATTACAAACTCCATTACTTTGTAAAGATAGATTCTCAAAAGTCAAACTAACTTACTTTAAATATTATGGAATATAAATATAAATGTATTCACATTACTTTTTCTACAGAAGTTTTTATTAACTCCCCTAATATTTAATTTTATTTTATATTAGTCTTGGTTCCTGGTTCCGATTCCTAACTATTGGAACCGGAACCGGAACTGCACAGTAACGGTTCCAAAAATTTGGAATCGGAACCTACCCATTGATGATTGGTTCTGGCTAGGAACCGGAACCAAACCCAGGGTACCCACCGGTTCCGGTTCCAACGGGTTCTTTTGAACACCCCTACCACCTGGCACTTGTTAACAAAAATAAAATTATAAATTATAAATTCAAAATTACAAACTGCATTACTTTGTAAAGGTAGATTCTTAAAAGTCAAATCAACTTACTTTAAATGTTATGAAATATAAATATAAATGTATTCACATTACTTTTTCTACAAAAGTTTTTATTAACCCCCATAATATTTAATTTTATTTTATATTAGTCTCGGTTTCTGGTTCCGGTTTCGGTTCTTAACTATAGGAACCGGAACCAGAACCGCATGATGCGTGATTTCATAAACATGCAAATGTAGCAAGTATACTAGTCGTACAAAGTAATAAATTGATGAGTAGGTATCGTTCCCACGAGGATAGTGTTACTANCGGTACGTGAGCTGTGTTGAAAACGTCGACGGATGGTTAAGTTGATATCGCTTTTTGCTGGCGTTTGGGAGGGAGATAGCCGCTTTACCGCCTTTGTTTTCATCTAGTTTCCCTCCAAATTTCTTTATAAAGTGAATTTTGGTATTTGAAAAGACGCGCGGCACGTGGCGTGTGCTTGCTCCGTGTGGAATTGGCGGGAAGATGACGTGGCAGCTGAGTTGAATCAAATATTGCGTAAGAGATGGGAGATACCATTAACTAGGTGGAAGGCCCGCCCACTTGTATTTCCAGTATTGTTGTTTATACTTTATATGTAATACTATATTTATTTGAAGAATTTGATGTTTACTGATATCTATTGTAGAGTTACAATATCATGTAGGTAGAAAACGATGCACTAAATCTCCTCGGGTTTATTTGTTTTAGTATTTTGGATAGTATTTTGGATAGTATTTTTGAAAAAGTAAGTTGGGTGGGAATAACGAGATAAGATTTAAAACTTAGCAAAAACATCCCTTAGGTTTGCTAATTTACTAAACACCCATATAATAAAAACATTGAAAATTATAAAAATACTCTCACCCATTGATTAAGTACCGACAACTGGCCACCACCGCCGAAGGGTGGTCTGAGTCACCGTATCGATGCACGACCGACTGAATCTATTCGGTCGTGCACCGAGATGGCCTTTTCTAGCTAGATCCACCATGGATCTGGCCGGAAAAGGCCAGATCTGGCCATGTTTGGTTGTCAATGATGACCATATCTTGGTCGTCGTTGACGACTAACAACGGCTAGATCTTTGGCAGTAGATCTGACATTTTCCTACCAGATCCACGATGAATCTGCCCAGAAAATGATAGATCGGTGCATTACTGGCCAAATCCAGCCGGTAGTATGCCATTATACCAAATTTCGGCCAGTCGGCCACCTTCTGACGGTGGTGGTCAGAATCTGGAAAATGTGAGTGGGTGGGGGTGTTTTTGTCAATTTTTAAACTTTTTTTTTTTTTTTTTGTGTTTATTTAAATTAACAAACTTAGGAGGTTTAAAAATAATTGAATAAAATAAAATAGGATTTTCAGAATAGGAAAACAAATGTGTATTTTGGGTAAGATAAAGATAGGATAGTGGAAAAATAATTAAACAAACGGACCCCTAATCATGTCAGTTACAGATTACACAATATAATATCATAATTAGGAGATTACATAATATAGAAAGCATCCTAAGACTGACAAAAATAGAAGATTATAAAATATTTGTGATAATATTTGTGTGAATGTGCACGGTTTGTATTGAAGTTAATTTATTGTTGAATTGATAATTAAAGCAATAAATAATAAACAATTTAAGAATAGGAATTTGATATAAATATTACATGTGTAAAATATATATTTAAATTGACTATAGGTGTAAGGCTCGCGCATTGCACGGGTAAGTTTATTGCTTGTATTTCAAGTATTGTCGTTTGTAAATAATATAGTACTGTTTATGAAAGTGGCTTTGGTGTCATGTTTGTTTGAAGAATTTGATGTTTCCATTGGTTGATACCTACTACAAAGTTATAGGCATTAGTAGGTAGAAAACGATTAATTGAATCTCCTAATTTTGTTAGTTACAGATTACACAATATATTGACATAACTAAAAGATTACACAATATAAAAAGTTTTCTAAGACTGACAAAAATAATAGACTAGAAAATAGTTGTGATAATAGTTATATTAATGTGAATGGTTTGTATTGAAGTTAATTTAATGTTGAATTAATAATTAAAGCAATAAATAATACAAAAATTAAGAATAGCAAGTTGATATAAATATTACATGTGTGAAATATACATTTAAATAATTACACAAGATTCAATGTGCACCAATTTAATCCAAATAAGTAATATTAAATAGTATGAATAATATTTTTTTTGTAATTAACCCCTTTTGACTCACGGTTGGATCGGTGTCATGGTGCTAAACCACCAGTGCGATCGATTTTGTTCGAAAACCGGGTTAACACTTTTCTAGGGTTCCCTTTTTTTTTTTTTTTTTAATTTCATTTCACTATAATTCCTTTACAAAGTTTTAGTGTGCTAACCCACCGATCTAACCAATTTTGTGCGAAAACTGATTTTTTTTTTTTTTTTAAGGGTTCCTTTCTTTTTCTTTATTTCATTTCTCTCTAATTCCTATACCAATTTCTCTCCTCGTTAGCTTTGTCTTTTGGTGTTGTTGACAATTCTTTCAAAGGCACTTGCAGTGTTTGTTTCGAGCCTTTTTCCACTACCGACCTAGCCCCTGTATAACTCATCTTTCTTTTTAATATATCAAATTAAAGTTTTGTCTGTCTAGTTTCCAAAGCTTCAATTCGTTTATAAATGAGACTTTTATTAAGCAACTTATAGTTAATTTACTATTGATTGTTCAGTGAAAACCAAGAAATAGACAAAAGCGAAATCTTTGTATATTTTGGTGATAGAAACATCCTCGATTTGATTCCATTTCAATACATGAATCTTTTCCTTGTAAATAACAGCAACAAAAATTAATTGATTTTGATATTAACATTGTGAAGAGATATGCTTACCGAATTGTTGAGACCAACCGTATTGTTGAAACCAAGTAACATAATGCGGCAATAGGCAGCCAACAATGTCATGGTGGAATGGTATCATATCACATAAATATAGATAGATATTTAATGAGAATGTGAAATGTTTGTATTTATATGAATATGAAGGGACAAATATAAATCTACAAGCATGAATCAATAAATCTTCTAATATGAATAAACAAAGTTTTAAGTAGACCTCTAGGATGCCACTATTTGATATCCATCTTTTCGACTAAAACTTTAAGGGTATACAATTATCCAAATTCAACATATAATATATAAAATTAAAATCATGTCTGTGTAGTTTCCAATGCTTCAATCCATTCATCAATTAGACTTTTATTGAGTAAGTTATGGCCAATTTACTACCGACTGTTCAGTGAAAACCTCCATAACCTCAATTATTATTAACTTATTCAGATAAATGGTTTGGCAGCAAGACAGATTCCATATCAAAGGTAGCATATATTATATCAAATTAAAGTCCTGTCTATCTAGTTTACAATGCTTCATCCGTTCGTCAATTGAACTTTTATTAAGTAAGTTATAGTCAATTTACTACTGACTGTTCAGTGGAAACCGCCATAACCTATCCTCAATTATTATTAACTTATTCAGATAAATGGTTTGGCAGTAAGGCAAATTCCATATTAAAGAGATGATATAATACATCAAATTAAAGCTCTGGCTATCTAATTTCCAATGCTTTAATCCTTTCATTAATTGGATTTTTATTAAGCAAGTTATGACCAATTTACTACTGACTGCTCAGTGAAAACCGTCACAACCTCAATTATTATTAACTTATTCAAATAATTGGTTCGGTAGCAAGGGAGATTCCATATCAAAGGCAACACATAATAAATGAAATTAAAGTTCTGTCTGTCTAATTTCTAATGCTTCAATCCATTCATAAATTTGACTTTTATTGATCAAGTTATGATCAATTTACTACTGATTGTTCAGTGGAAATCGTCATAACCTCAATTATTATTAACTTATTCAGATAAATGGTTCGGTAGCAAGGCTGATTCCATATCAAAGGTAGCATATAATACATCAAATTAAAGCCTTGTATGTCTAGTTCTAATGCTTCAATCCATTCATCAATTGGACTTTTAGTGAGCAAGATATAACCATTTTACTATTGACTGTTCAGTTAAAACCGCCATAACTTTAATTATTATTAACTTATTCAGATAAATGGTTTGGCAATAAGGCAGATTCCATATCAAAGATGACATATAATATATCAAATTAAAGTCCTAATTGTCTAGTTTCCAATGCTTCAATCCGTTCATCAATTGGACTTTTATTGAGCAAGTTATGACCAATTTACTATTAACTGTTCAGTGAAAATTGAGAAACAAAATAGTCAAATGCCGAACCATTTGATTCGACATCTAACTTTATCTCTAATGGGTTGCTTTGTCGCTTGTTTTGGTTCATCCAAAGATGCCCAACATTGCAAACTTAGATACAAGGTTCACTCTTAAATCAAAATTAAGGTGAATGGTTCGCCATTCATCTAAAAGAGATAGTCAGATATTGAACCATTCTTCAGATGTCTAACCATTTGGTTTGGCATCTAACTTAAATCAAAATTAAAGAAGATACACGGTTTGAAGATAAACTTAAGAGCAAATAACTAAATTAAGATGTTTGGCATTTGACATCATTAAATGAATTATGATGAATGGTTCAACATGCAATTTTCTTGACATATCTTTAAAGTAAAAAATATTGACAATAATGGTTGAATGGTTCGACATACAATTTTTGTGATAGTTGGTATTATTGTCAATGTTTGGCATACAATTATACGATCCAAATTTCACAACTGACAATGACATGGTAAAGCAACACAATCCGTAAAACATATATCATAACAATAATCATAATAATACCTTCCATAAAAGTAAATTACCAAATATGTTCAACAGAGACTTCCAACATAACAAAAAATAACAAAACCGAAAGAAAGTACGTCAGAGACATGGCATTTTATTACAAACCATCCATGGCTTCATACCAATGATATATATAATGAATTTAATTAGACATTTGGGATGCCCAGTAAAGTATAAATGGTGGAATGGTATCATATCACATAAATATATATAGATATTTAATGTGGATGTGAAGAGCTTATATTTGTGAATGTGAAAGGGACTAAACACATCCACCAAACATCAATCTATATATCTTCTTATTTGAAGTATACCTTTGGGATGCTACTATTTGATATCATATCTTTTTGACCAGAATGTGAAGGGTCTAACGTTATCTAAATTTAGAATATAATATATCAAATTAAAGCCCTATCTATATAGTTTCCAATGCTTCAATCCATTCATCAATTGGACTTTTATTGAGCAAATTATGGTCAATTTACTACTGACTGTTCAATAGAAACCAAGATTGATATTGTATATTTTCGACCAAAATGTGAAGGGTCTACAGTTATCCAAACTCAGCATAATATATCAAATTACAGTCTTGTCTGACTAGTTTTTAATTCTTCAATCTGTTCTTCAACTGGACTATTATTGAGAAAATTATAGTCAATTTACTACTGACTGTTTAATGCAATATATGTCATTAATACAAAAAAATATCAAACACTAATTAAATTAAGTCACATGTAACCAAAAATTATACTCATTCACATATCTCACAGTATCACCAACCACATTCAACCAAATGTACATATCTCACATCATCACCAATCACATGTAGTCACATGTCAAACAATTACCTAACATGTCAAAATGAAGCAATTCTAAAACTTAAAAAATCTTACATGTCAATCAAATAGAGTATGTCTCAGCATTATATAGATATAGATAAATTATATAGTTATATAGATTATTAACCATGTGATTTTCAAAATAGAAATTTTTTTCCAAATATTAAAGACCAATATGAGTGTTGGATTAAAAAAATTATTTATCTATTTAATTCATTATATATATGTGTGTGTGTGTGTGTGTAGTATCCGAATCTTACGCTTAATATTATTAAGATATTTTACATAATATATCAGTTACAAGCTAAATCTATTTTGGTCCTTGAGGTATAGTTTAAGTAACAATAAGGTCCAATAGAATTTAATAATAAATACTTTAAGTCTTTGTAAATTCGAAGTTTTTTAAATGTAAATGGAATTAGCAATTATAGAATCTAGGGGTGTTAACGAGCCGAGCCGAGCCGAGTTTTCGGCTTAATGAGCTCGGCTCGTGAGAGAAGAAGATTGATCAAGCCGAGCTCGAGCCGAGCTGAGTTATAAAATTTGCGGCTCGACTCGACTCGAGAAAGAGTTTAGGATATATCGAGTCAGCTCTCAAAAATTCAATTTTTTTAGAAAAAAATCAAAATTTTTTTAGCCAAGCTCGGCTCGCGAGCCTAACGAGCCGAGTCGGGCATGGCTCGAACTCGGCTCGTTCTGGCTCACGAACAGAGCCGAGCCGGCTCGTTATATAACGAGCCGAGTCGTTAACGAGCCAGACTCGAGTCGGCTCGCGAGCGGCTCGGCCCGTTAACCACCCCTAATAGAATCTATATATTTATATAATGCTGAAGCAGACTGCTTCTTCTAACGCTACGTAGGATTGATATATGATCGTCATGTAGGATGTCGTTAATTGGTCCACGTGTTTGCTATTTATTGGGCTTGCTATAATAAAGATTATTCACACACATTCAATTAATGTATTCAATACAAATCTTTCACATTCCTTTTTTAATTTGAGATCTTTCACATTTTTCTTTTAATTTGATAAATTATTAATGATTTGCTTGTGTGTTATTGATTTCCATGAATATTAAGAGATTACTATAATAGAAATTATTCACATGCATTCAATTAATGTATTCAATATAAATTTTTCACATTCCTCTTTTAATTTGAGATTTTTTACATTCCTCTTTTAATTTGATAAAGATACAACATATCTTTTCACATTCATGAAATTCAACAATACACTTTATTAATCCATTAATATTCAATGTTCATTCATGCATATTAATTATTATTATTAATTAATATTAATATTTTTGTACCCCTTCACATTCAATTAATTATTATTAATATTAATAATTTAATATATCTTTACGCCTTCACATTCAATTAAACAAAAATATCAAACATAATAACAAAAAATGTTTTTTTATAAAATGTATTATCATTTAACATTTAATATAAATCTGAAAATTTTAAACTCATCCAATAACAATAAAACATTTAAATCAAAATAACCATAACTAATAACATGCAAACACTTACTAAAAAATATCAAAAGTCATATTAATTAGCAATAATCCAATTACATTAAACATAGCACGAACAATTGTTGTAATCATTAATTATCATATAATAATACTTAATGACATCTAAAGCTATATAAGAGTAGAGAATTCAACAATCCATACACCTTCAAATATTTCTTTCATTTCACACAGATACCATTAACAAATGGAAGACAAAAGACCAACTATTGTCAATCCAAAATCCAAACAAACAAAAGCATGCGGTAAATAACATCAACTGATTACTCTTATATTCCCTCTACATATCTACTTTTACATGTCCATTTTTTTATTTTTAGCAGGTCAAGCAGCAATGTCAGATGGTTCGCCTGAACTGAAAGGTATTCTACAAAACCTTAAAGTCATGCTAGACAAACTCAACACTGCTAGAGTGATGAACAGAGTTATAATGAATGCTTTGTTAGAAATAACAGGCTTAACCATACATGTAATATTCAATTTACAGAAACACGAATCCCTAATTATTGCCAAAGAAAAGGAACTTGGTATTCCTCAAGGAAAAAAAAAAGAGAACTATATATATATATATAAACAGTTCTATTATTAATAAAATCGATAAAAGATTCACAGTATATTGTTCCCACTGAATGATGATAGCGGAAGCTAATATAAATAATAAATACTGTTTATTCTACAGTTAGCGCATAATTCTACATTACTATTTTACACCTTTTAATCCATTTCTTAAAGATTCCATTTCATTGTATAACTTAATGGGTTGGATTTAAATTTTAAAAGTTTTTTAATTAAGTAGTGAATAAGTTTCTCAACAATTGAACTTAAACTTATTCTATATGTGTTGAATGATTCATTTCTTTGTATAATTCAATGACTTAGATTTAAATATTGATTTTTTTTTATATGTTCCTTAAAATGACATGAGAACTAAACGTCTATAGTTGTTTTTGTTCTCAGAATGATCCAAAATTGTCTTTTTGCAGATTGGCTATATGGCGATATGTGAGATTGGTTCCAGTCTGGGTTTGGAGGGTGTTGAGAGATGGAGTTTAAGTGGGAATTTGTCAACAAGGCTGATTAGTAGGCAATTTGTGGGAAGTCAAAGTCATTTGTGATGTTTCAGAGGAGAAGTTTGGGAGTTCAATGTTCATCTTCGAGGAAAGTTTTTTCTCGAGTTGAATCTGAGGTGGTTTCTGTGGAGGAAGAAGAGTCAGGGCATGTTATGAGGTTCAAGATGTCTGATTTCAAGATTCTTGATTGTGTTAGCCTTGGCCTTGCTAGGTGGGTATGTTTGTGTGAAGAATTCAAATGTTTATTGGAAATTTGATGGCGGTGTTTGATTGTTCTTGTGATTTAATTGAATTGGGATTTCCTGTAAGTTGATGAGGTTGTTTTTGAAGCCATTGTGAATGATTCTAATAGGTTTCATTTCTTTTTTGTTTCCTTCTCATTATTTTCTTATGATATGTTAGACTGAGGAGTGAACTTATGATGTTTGTATTGTGAGATTGCAGCCCTTTGTATAACACAAGAGTTGTGCTAGAAAACTAGATGAAACATAAGATCAATTGAGGAGTGAGTAACTTCTATTGCTACTAGTAGTGCTTTTGGGAACCAGCATGGTTATTAGTGATGGCATTCTAACTTCGTCAATGTCTGGTATTATTTCTTTCATACATTACATATATTTTCCATGTGAAGTTATAGATTGATTATGGTACACAGCATAATGGTATGGTTTTGTCCATAAATCTCCATCAAATTTGATATGATATGTTTGAGCTACTGCACAATGTATTAGCTTCCAAGAATTGCACAACTTTTTCTTACTTTGTCACATTTAATGCATATACAGTATGTGTTTATGTGTGCGCATGTGCATGTGTGTGTGATGGGATATATGAGTAACATCCTTTTAATTGTTTTTTTTTTTTTTTCCTTGGTGCTTTTATGCAACCAAACTAAATTTAGAAACCTATTATTTTCTTTGAGTATAAACTCAAACTTCTTGCATAAAGAGTTTTTCAAATAGAAATTTTTAAGTTTTTAGTGAACTTTTGCGTAGAACTTAAGTTTGGATTAAAACATATGCGGATGTTTGACAAATTCTTGGATATTCATATTCATATTTGGCTAATTTGACTAACCTCTTGACTTGAGGACGAACTAAGCTCTAGCATCAAGCTCTTTGGAGAATCAATGATATCTGTTTCATTATCAGTTTTTGATATATTCATGGAGCTTGGAAATATAGTTCCCATCTTTCTCTTTGTGCTTGACTAAGAGTTGTTTCACCTACAATAACAACATATACACCACCTGTTGAGCAACTGGAAGTGGTCATTTCAAATGTAGCCAGCCATTGCCCCACTCATAGTTGCTTACTTTAAACGCTTGTTTGTTTATGAAATTTCATATTATTACTGATTTATTTCTTAACGTAAATTGATTCAGTTTTGATTCCTTTATTATGCAACCAACCTTTGGCAGTGATGGTCACAGTGAGCATTGATGGGGGTGACATTCAGAATAATTTAATGAACACTTCTTTTTTGGCGTAGACACAGTATGAACCATTTAAAAAAATATATATATATTGTCCATTTATTTTGTTTTTCTGTATCTTATAAACAATGATATATTGCAAAGTGTTTATCAATGAAGCATATTTTATTATCAAAAAGTTGCAAACTTACATTCTTAGATAGGTTATACATGTTTTTGTTGTGGACTCTGTAGCTAATAATAGTTTGTGTTTTGTGGCGAATAGAGTTTGTGTTGGATGATGAAGGATGACAAGTTTTATTTTATTTTATTTTTGCTCATTTCATGGTGCTGGGCATCCTTTTAAAATGGTGAAAGATTAACCGTTGGACCTCAAAGCAATGATTATATTCCATGCAAGAACTACTAATTTTAAGAAGGGCAAAATTGTCATTTTGATTATATTATTATGTACCAAATTGTTGTAAGAAAAGTGTTGCAACTCTTATTTTGCTTTGAAAACAGAATGTATTCCTATCACTAAAATGTTCTAGTATTATTTCATTCTTTAATTAATTTATTTATTTGTGTCAAAACCACTTTCATAAGTTGCGGGACTTTCAACTTCTATGTATTGAATGTAATTAATTAAATTCCTGCTGAATTACAAACTGACCATTTCAATCTTTCATCACTTGCATTTTATCAAATTAGAAGAGGAATGTGAAAGATATGTAATGCATACATTAATTGAATGCATGTGAATATCCTTATTTTATCAACACCAATAAGCAACAAACAGGGGCACCAATTAACGACATCCTAAATGGCAATCATATAACGATTCTCAGTAATCTTTAAACATAAAAACCCGATTAACAAAAAAAAAAGAACAATAACAAAATGTTCTATTATAATCAATATTTGACATATTTTTTTGTGAAACAATAATCGTTTACAATTTCTTAAAATATAACAATTCGATAATAAAATAAAAACAATATATATAATAAATAAACCTGTGTAACGCGCGGGCGTGCCATCTAGTTATAAAAGATAAATGGCTGCTAATCGATAATTCTGGTAAATTTTAGAACAATTTCATTAATTATAAAAATAATAAAAAAAATAGATTAAGGATATTGTAANATAATATGGCTATTTAGTAAAATTTTAAAACTTGGTAGCCTTTTAATTAAATTCAAACTTGAAAGGTTGTTTTAATAAACTACCCCGGGTAGACTATCCCATTATATAAAGGACTAGGCGCTGCCATTTTCCCGCCTTCAAAATTATGCTATATAATACTCGTTGCGGTGTGGTTTAAATTCGACTTTAAGTAAGGCGGTTATGCGTATTTAAAAGTTAAAACGCAAGCTCATATCATTTTGATAATGGAATATAATTAGGCCGAAATACATGCACCCACCCATAGTTTTCCGTAAAGACCTTGGTACCCAAAAGGTTTAGAAATGACAAACAGGCACTTCCCGTCAACATCTGTTAGTGAATTCCACCCATAGTTTTCCGTAAGACGTTAGTACCCAAAAGGTTTAGAAATGACAAACAACTACTTCCCGTCAACATCTATTAGTGAATTTCGTTTGAAGAAGCACAGTATGTTAATTTTGCAACTTTCCTCTCTTTTCTTTCTGTTCTTTTCTTCAATTTTTTCTACTATGTCGCCTGCAAAGGAAGCAGCAGAATTTTACATCCTCCTTCTCTCTTCTTTTTTCTTTCTTCTTCTCTTCCTCTTCAATTTTTTTGTTCTCTTTTGCAGATCTGGCCAACTACTTCTCCTTTTTCTCTTTCCTTCCTTCTCCTCCCTTTTTCTTATTTCTTTGGCCAACCGCTTCTCCTTTTTCATCTTTTGCAGATCTGGCCAGCCGCTTCTCCCTTCTCCTTTCTTTTGTTGGAATCGTTGAACTCGTCCATCAACACTCTATCAAGAAGTTTTTTATGGGAGCAGTAGCAAACAAACACTATGCAGAGTAACAATTACTATTTGTTTCTAGCCCTGTGTGTTAGTGTCTATCTTTATTAAAATCTGGAGTTTTGATGGTGTTTTTATTTATATTTTTATAAATTCAAGAAAAGGGAGGTTTCTTGTAATGGTAAAAGAATTTCTTGTGAAATGTCAACTACTTGGACAATGCATATTTATCATCAAATAGGAACTATTTGGTGGAGTAGATGGTGTTTGTGGTGGAGGTGAAGCTTTTGGTGGATCAGATGGTGGTGATGGAGATGAATTTGAGGGTGAAGGAGGACTTGTTGGTAGATTGGCCACTGGTGGTGGTGGAGGGGAATTCGTTGGTGGAGTAAATACTGGTGGTGGTGAAGGTGAACTCCTTGGTGGATTAGATACTAGCAATGGTGGGGGCGATGAACTCATTGGTGGATTGGATGCTATTGGTGGTGGTGGTGGTGGTCGAGATGAACTAGTTGGTGGATTAGATATAGGTGGAGATGGTGGTGGTGATGTAGGTGAAATGGATTGTTGAGGAGGAGGGGGAGAAGGTGTAGATGTCAATGGGGGGTGGAGATGTATTTTGAGGAGGTCGTGGTGAGCCAGGTGGTTGTGCAGGAGGTGATGGAGTAGAAGGTGTGGACGGGTCAGATTGATTTACATTAGGCTCAGGAGGTGAGGAGGTTGTAGGAGGTGGAGAAGATGGCTGTGATGATGGTGGTGGACTGGTGTTAGATGGTGGTGGACTGGTGGTGGAGGGTGGTGAAGTTGGCACTGCAGTGGGAGATGAATTTGGAGGCTCACAGCAATAAAGAAAAAGAAAGAAGAAAAGAGAGGAAAGTGGCCGCCTTTTTTGCTGAATGCAAAATTACCACACTTTCATTCTCCAAACGGAATTTACTAACAGAATCTAACAGAAAGTGGCTATTTGTCATTTTCAAACTTTTTGGGTACCACTTTATCTTTACGGCAAATTATGGGTGGGTGCATGTCCTTGGGCCAATATAATTAAAGGGAATAAAATAGTAATTTTTGGCCAATACCAAATCCAATATCAAACAATATTGAATCTTGAATATTAATTTGATAAAACAAGGTGTTCTAATATTGATATTTCAAGTCATAAACATAGTTTCCGTTTTTCTATCCTTTTCATTTTTTTGTTGCATAAAGTTCAATCATTTCCAAAAGTTTAACGTGTACAAAACAACATAAAACAATCCTTATTTACACCTCGCAAACATCCCCTTGCGAGATTGGCAATTGACAAGCGACACCACTCCTCTTTAGGTAAAGTATGACTTATGAAATACTCCTTGCCATTAAAATGGTATCAAAAAAAGTCAACTAAGATAAATATGCAAAATGTCACTCTTGCACCGTTCCTTCTATTTCTAACTCATTTTCTATCTTGTTTCACAATGAATTCTATGTTAAAAATGTCAATGTTGTTAAGGTGTCATTAAATTTAACATACAAACTAGGTAAATGCTTGTTTTTTTTCCAAATTTGCAAAGACAAATGGGATCACATAGATAAAGTTCAATTGTTAAACAATGTCAAACTCTGTATTTTTAGTACATCCTGAACACGAATGTAAAAGATAGCATCATAAATGAATGAAGAATCAACAATAAAGAGCTCAAATTACATAGCGACGCAAAAAGTGATATTTTTTTCTGGGTTGAAAGATGCCAGATCCATATGTAGAGTGATACATTTGGACAAACAATGG